AATGCCGAAACGTTCTGTAAAGTAGATCTCTCAGTTTATTTTCATATAGAATTTCCTACTATACGAAAACAAGCTGGTAGAAGAATAGATTATGGTTAGTAAAGAGACAGACAGACATAGGATTTAATATTTTCTGCACTGTGTGTGCACCCTGCATGAACAACGTTGTTAAGCAACGCCGGTCTCACGGCCCTGGGCCCGTTAGCTGAAGCCGCCGTGACTGAAACGCGTAATTCAGTGCCAGCTAGGAAACACTGCTGGTACTTCCCAGGGCTGTGTTCAGGGACACGGTTCTCCGAGGAAAGGAAACCTGACCTGGACAGCCGGGCCACGCCGGGAATGGAAACCGAAAGCTGGCGGGTAGGCACGGTGCTGGAGCTGCAGTTGGGGTTTGCATTAGGGTTGCAGTTGGGTTAGGGGTGGAGGAGGTGGCTGGGCAGCATACAGGGAGACATCTGGGAGTTTGTGGGTTCAAGGGAGCACCCTCCAGGGTGGAGGGGCAACAGGGGTGCTGGCAGAGTTTCAGAGCCACCTGGCTGCCTCTGCTCACTCTGTAGCCCCAGGCACCTCAGATGTCAACGTGTGCATTGCAGAAAAAGCACCAATGTAGCAAAGTATTTAAGCCTTTTTTTTGAAAGGAAGTATAGCATTCTGTCCATGAGTATGTACATATAGTTTTGCTTTCTTTGAGAATGGCTGGCTTTACATTTTCAGATGTGGAAAGTCACGCTTGCCTAGGAGATTCCTGATGCAATGGCGGCCATTTTCTAGGTAAGCCACGATTTCAGCATGCAAAAATTTGTGATTCATGCCAGAATGGTGTTCTCAAGCTTTTGATAACATCTTTTTCAATTTAGGTAAGACGTTGGAGAAGAGTTCCAGGTTTATTGCTGCCTTGACAAACGGTATGTATGCAGGTACACAAAAGGTGACTTTATATAGCTATATGTATGTAAATAGCTTGCATTTCGTGAAAATAGGTGTTGAAGTTCAACTGTAAAGTTACTTTAATCACACTACTGTAATATAACATACTGTGTACAGCATTTTACAAGTAGATAATAAAAATGTATTTTTGGTGGGTTTTTTTCTGCAACTTCATTTACTAGGCATTTAATGCAAGGTGAAAATCAAAAAGAAAATTGAAGCTTAGTTTTGAGTTTGTGAATTCTGAAAAATGGAGTTTGCACTTTAGTTTCTTTTGTTAGTTTTTTTTAAGAAAGGTTACAAGACTAAAAATGACATCTAAAGATGAAATAGTCCTTTTATGGTCTCAGGAAAATGAAGGATAACCATATCTAAGGCATATGAATATTGCAATGGTCCATACTGCAGCAATAAATGCTGCATAAGGCTGTTACCTGAATGGAAACGAAACAAAATTGAAGTTCAGAAGAACTGAGTTGATGCAGGGACTCTGCAGGGTTATCCCAAGCTGCTGGTTTGTTCTTTAGCTCAAAAGAACTCAACACAGTGACCTCGTAAGTGTGGAGTTACCCTAACCATTACAGTTCTATACTCACTCAAGAGTAGAGAAGTCTACCTTTGAAAAAAAAGAAGAAAAAAGCTAAAACTGAATTTAAAAGTATGATTAATACCAAACCATGATTATCTCCATCATGCAATGAAGATGTTGTGGCGTGCTTACTTGTGACTGGACTAGCATGAACAGTGTGGTTACAAGTCACCTGAGCCAGGGAAAGTGGATCATTGCTTGGAGCATGCCATGTAGATACAGCTAACATAGCAAATTATGACTAACCCCTCCAAGGATCCTTTCATGCAAAACGCAAAGCAGATATGTAATGCTCCTGTTTAGTAAATTTTAAGACAAAAGCTGATGTTTTCCTTATAGCCCATAAAAATATTTATTGATTTTTAAATGAAAATATGTCTCACAGGGATGTTCGCAAAATGCTTTCTGATTTTTCTTGATGTTTTATTCCAGTGTGATTATGAAGTAGATAATTTAATGGTTAAAGCCTCAGAACATACCATATTTCTTGAAAATTATCTCTTGATTACTTAGAGTTTTCTTTTTTTTTATGACAGAATCAAGATCTGTGATGGATTCTACAGGATATAATTTGAAGAAAGTTGTTCATAATGATGCCAGTGCGGATGCTAGTAGTGGTGATAATGATAGTGAGTGTAGCGGCAGTGTGAAAATGGGCTTCATTCCAACAAAGGAAGATAAAGAGCCTGGGATTACAAGTAACAGTGATGAGGAGGAGGAGACCAGTGACAAAGAGGAAGCAGTTGTTATGCAGATGCTTAAAGAAGAGAAAGATAGAGAAAAAGAAGCAGAAGACCCAGATTACAGTAACACTTACAGTATCTCAGACACTGAAGAAGAGATACAGCAGGCATCACAAACTGAAGGCAAAGATTTCAGAGTTCTCCAGAACAAACGTAATTCCCAAAGGCCTGGTGAGGAGCTGTTACTAGCTTATTCTCATGTCTGTGGCTTTTATTGCAGTATCTTACTTTTTGGCTCTTTTGTAATTAATTGATGAGTTATGGTTATATGGTTCTGTCAGTAACCGTTTATGTGGTTATTTTAGAAATAAGGAAACATGTTGAATTTCTGAAGAAGTTGAGGCTACACATTTGGGCATCCCTATCAAGAGCTCAGTAAGTACAGTGGGGTTCATGGAAAGAAATGTAAAAAATGATAATAAAAATAGTTTATCTGAACGAAGTAGACATCACAGTGTAGTGCCCCTTAGAGAAAGAAGCTGTGTGCTCACCACCTAGTTTTGTGGAAAACCAGGAGACCTAAGCGATACTTAGGTTTTCATTCAGCCACATGAAGGAAGATTCTTAATATAATAGAAAATCTGCCCAAAGGGTAGGGATTGTCTGCACGTTTTAGGAACTGATCTACAATTTCTTTTAACTATTGTTATTTATTCTTTAAATTCACTGTCATGCTTTTTTTGAGCATGTTTCCTCACGTTTTAAGGCTACTCTTTTACACCGTTTAAAACAGTTTTCCTACAAAATTTTCCTTTTCATATATACTTTCTGTGGTTTTGCACGTCAGTTCTCATGCATGATCTTCTGCATCTTCAGATTCTGATTCCTTTCCCGGTTTGGTATGGAGAAAGATTAGCAATAGTGCTGTTCATATTGACAACAAAGTGTCTACTACTCTGCATTCTAGAGCTGACATGCTAAAGAGATTTTTATTAATTAAAGGCAGACAATTTAAAAGTATTAGAAGTTTACGTAGTTTTTGTTCATGGAGGGCTACTCATTGCGTCAGATAAAAATCTGGGCCTGTAAACCAGAGGCTCTTGATCCCAGCCAGAAGGGAAAGCGGAATCTTCCCAGATGTGGATCTAAAGTGATGTGTATTGGGCATTTTTGACAGCCTTGAAGAAAACAAGCACGTTCTTACCATTAGAGTATGAATGTTCTTATAATATGCGTTAGTATTGTAATATGCAATATACAGTGTAGTATGTAATAGACAAACATGAAAGAAGAGAACCCTTACTAGAAGGGCTTGCCCCTTCTTCATCTGGACCTGCAAAAGTTCTTCTGACATCTTGGTCTGTCCTGGGTAAAACATCCTGTCCCTGGACTTTCATGGATTCTTAAATAACCGGAGAACACAGTCAGTTCCTAGGATGTATTAAAAACTACTGAGTTGCTGCCTGTTTCTTTTTGCCATCTTCAGTGAAGAGGATTTGTTTCAAGTTTTGACCTAAGACCAATTAATGCAAATGTTACCAACTTTCATAGTTTTCTGAAATGCGAAGGGGATGAAGAAGTCTTTTAATTCTTTGGTCTCTTGAAGGGATGTATTGTGATTGGATTCCTCTTGCTGTTAAGGTATTTTTCCTGCCACAGACATTCCTTAGATGAGGGAGGTAGTTGTCCTTGTCATGATAGTTGTTGATAACCTACTTGCTAATTTTAACTGAAAACTCAGGCAGGAAGGCTCTCAAAATATGTTTTGTGGTTATCTCCTGTGGGGTATTTCTTACAGAACAGATAACACTTTCTGCATAAGCAAAGATGGACAAGAGATGCCACATAAGTCACCAAAGCCTCAGGTGCCTCAGATACAAAAATATCCAGAGTTGTAAAGGAGACAATTGCTAGTGCATTCAATAACTGAAAGGATTGCAAGCTATTTAGGACTAACCTTAGATCCAAGGAAGATGAGTTGCTATTGATTTAATTAACAGAAACATTTATTTTAAAATGTATTAGTGAGCAAATTTCTTCTGTCCCGTGTCCCCAACTTTTCTTGGAGTAATGTTATGTACATGCTTTTTCTTTTTCTTTCAGGTATGTCAGTCTGTTGAAAGACTTTGTTGAGTCTGAATTCTTTGTGATAGATGGGGATTCCTTAATACTTATGTTTTCAGACAAGGAAACACAGTATCTGAACTTCTTCTACCAAATTGAATGCTTCCTGCAGGATTTCACTGAAAAAGGAGCCAAATACGTCATTGTTTTCTTCAAGGTACTGAACAAATAACGTTTGTTTGCTGTTTAAACCACTGCACTCCTTCAAAAGCAACTGCTTGATTCCAGTCAGGATTAGGAAACTGTTTGTTGTGTCAACAAATGTAACCGAATAATTTCATTGTTTTTATTTCCCACAGGATGCAGAACAGATGTACTTTCCATATCCTCATTTTCTTTTCTTACGTACTGCATTAATAGAGCACCTGAGGCATAACACAGGCACCGCTGTTCATACAGAATTTTCCAATTGTTTATCATCCAGATGGGAGATTTTCCTGAAGAAGAGCTATCCTTACTTCATCATGGTATCTGACATAGGACTGACCTCTCTCCAGACAGACTATTTATCTATTTTAATTGCTCATTCATTGTCAAAGAAAATCAACATTGTGCTTGCTTCAGGGCAGGAGTATGATATTCTTAGAGTTTATGGATATCATGTTCAGAATATGTATAAACACAGATTATTTTTTCAAAAGGTAAGTTACACAACTTCATTGTTGGTTTGCAATAATGGTGTTAGTTCTACTGAGCAGATTTAATTAATATATCTCAATATGAATATTTTATTGTATATATTAAAATTATAAAGCACTGATAGGTGGCTCATTTTATCTATCTTTAATCTACTAGTCTTGAAATCCTTTACAGGCAAACATTGTGATTTGTGGCGAATTCCTGCCCTGTTCTCCGTAGTCTCATTTCACATCCTTGTTCACTTAAGATATGGTAGTCTCAAATACAGCCTTTCCCATATCTTCAGTGTCACATGTCTTAGCTGACTTGTAATATGCGAGATGAGACTAGCATTTAGACCAGGAATGTGGTTTTTAAAGGACTTTTATTTAGAATAGATGTTTATTGGATGCTGAGGATTGTTATATATCTGAACGGTTTCTCTTTGTTGCATTGTGTCTATTGACTTTTGCATATAACTTTGACTTCTGCACTTCTTAGTATGAACAAGATCTGCGACATGCCTGTGAAAACCTAGTCAGGTGCAAAGAACTATTTGTGTGTTCATATGAACATCTCACGCTGAGTCTGGACAGCATACAAAAAGAGGTAGTTGGACCTCTTTGATGCTTTTTCTTTTTTCTCCTCAGGTTGACTGTCTTCCTCCAATCCTTTACCTGATATTCTTTCCTACCCAGAACTGGGGGCTCTCTTCCTTATCCTGAAGTGACACCCTGAGTCTGAGAAGGTCTCCTCTGTGTCCACTCTTCTTCACAGCAGCTCAAAGCTGATTGTTTCTTTAAAGTTCACTAAAGTAGGATGGTTCAGCTGGAAGCTGATCGGTGGGATGCCACTGAAGGGATGTTTCCCTCTCGGTGACTGCCTTTTATCTTGCAGATGATGGAACCAGCCTATTCAGCAGAAAACACCGTCTGTGGCATAAACGCACCCTTAGCCACCCGGGGGGGCTGTGGCTGCTCCCCTCCTGGGGGGCTGTGGCCATCGCCTCACCCCACCGCAGCAGCTGCCTCCCGAGGGTAGGGTGAGGGAGGACATCTCAAACTCTAACCCTCTCTGTTGCAGCTGCCAAGGCTTCCACGCTCTGCTAACTATAAAAGTATTCACCATCTGGGAATTTTTGTTTTTTAAGAGCTTGATTACAGTTGCAAGTTCTGTGCTTGCATGATTAAAGCGATGGATTCATTAATCTTTTTTTACAATATTTTAACCTTAAAAATTTGGTGGTTTTATGTGTATGTGATACTTTTAGTGCCTAACATAGCCCTGCCATTTTTCTGAATGTTAAGTTTCACTGCAGTGTTGTGAATGTGACTCTCCTGCAGAGAACAGCAGCAAGGCTTCCTCAGCTGTCAGTGGGGATGATACTGGTCCAGCAAGCTGATTTCTTTCAATCCAGAAAAAAGTGGTGTTACTTAGAAAGCATTTCAAATTCATTAGAAACATGGCTGCCTGGCTGCTGCTAATATTTTGTTTTATTATGATTATCTTTCCTGAGGCAAGTTCAGTAATTAGATACCCCCGGAGCAGAAAAACGTCAGGGCACAGCGAGGGCAGGTGGCTGCTCCCTTGGGGCCTGGGCCACGGGAGCTCTCCCGGAGGCGGCAGGGCAGGGCCCGGTAGCCGGGCTCTGTCCCACTGCCCCAGCCCCAAGGCCCCACCGGGTTGTCAGCCTGTCGGGCTGTGGGGAGCTGGAGACTGGCACCGCTGTGGCATCGCTGGGACAGGGACTGATGGCCCCGAGGGGCTGAAACGGGGCCCTGGGCAGGTGGGAGTAGGCCCCAGGAGTTGGGCATGGACAGCCAGGGCTGTTAGTTCCCTCAGGGACAAAACAAAAAAGAGCTATTTTTGCTAACGATTGTGCCCACTTTTCCTTCTGTAGTTTTCATATTCTTTTTTTCCCTTTTCTGACAGAACTCTGTAAAGGATAAGACTTGTCCTTTTTTTCTAATTTTTATTATAGCTGTCATTTGTGCTATTAATAATGTTGTGATTGCAGGTTCACCAGACTGTCTGTCTGTTGAAACGACTATGGCCTGAAGGATCTGACATTCGGCGTGTGGTCTGTGTTCTTGCTTGTGCCGTGGGATTAAAAATACACAGCAACATGTTGAAAAATGCATGTACTTCCATGGGAACAAAGACAAAGAAATCAGCAAGAGTAAGAATTTTTTGAATATTTTTTTTAGCACAGTGACCATAAACATTTTGCTAAGAGGAGAGATGGCTGTTCTTCTAGATCCCAAGCTGGAGAGAGGTCTGGCTGCTTTCTTTGTGACTGCACTCCGTTAGTGGTCTGGTTCAGGTGATTACTGCAGCCACAGCTTTTCCAAAGGAGCACGGTCTGTCTGTGGGTGGCACTGTGCCCCCTGCCACTGTGGGTGTTCCTGGGGAAAGTTTTACCTTAGGAGCAATTACTTCGTTGCGCTCATTATTTTTATTTTCCTAACGTTCAGGGACGTACTGGCTTTTGCAGAAGAATACGCTTTCCCTGAAGTTAGCAAGACATTTCAGAAAAAACGTTTTCTTTCTAGATGCAGTCATGACATCTTTTTCGTGACCGTACTACAAACCTTATATTATCATCAAGTTAACACAGACACAATATATCAGTAATAGGGGACACATATTTGGTGGACTACAGGATGACTACAAGTGGTCAGCACAGCTGGATTTCTGTACAGACTTTTTGCTGTGCAGTTGAGAGAAGAGCATAGGCCTATATCTAGATATTAACTTTTCCTCTTAAAATAATAACGTTTCTAGCCAGACACACTGACAATTGTTCTTAAGTTTTGTCTTGATTTTCATAGTCATATTCTTTTTGGAAAAGAAATTTTTTTTTTATATTGTAACTGATCTGCATCTACCAGCACTACAAGAACGTTCATTTTGAAATAAGTGCATCTACAAGTAATTACAATACACAAATTGTTTAAATAGATCAAAATTATTAGCTGCTCTAACGAAGTACACACCACTGAATTAAGTAGAAGTGAACACAATTATTTCACTGAAGGACGTGGTCAACTTTTTATCTGTCATCTCTCAACAGGGAAGAAGTAACCCCCTGTCTCCAGAAGCAGCAGCTGACCTCTGTAGAATGCAATGTCTTACAGTGGCTTTTCTTCTTCATATGCCTCTTTCACAGAGAGCTCAGATTAGGGTCATGAAATCCTACTGGACTAAGCAAATTCTACCGTTAATAAAAATGGTATGTGTAGCACTGTCTTACTTCCCCTGTTATCAAGTGCAACTGGCATTTCAATCTTAATTTTTGTGTATATGCTACTTTAGTCATCTGATGAGATCAAAGAATGTAATATACCTGCTGGAAACAAAACTTAGCTGGTTCAGGAATCTTGTGAACCATGAATCAGTGGGGTTAGGAGAATGTTTGGGCAATATCTCCATACTTGACCTCTTCTTAGACATCTCTGGTTGCCCAGTGTAGGGTTAGGGTGCTGGGCTACATGGACCTTTTGGTCTTATCCAGTATCGGAAGTTTGATGGCAGACCTTTTTATTGTTTAGATTTGGTTATTACAGTGAAGGGGAACAGTGAAGGCAGTTTCCTGATCACAGAGAAGTCAAGTAAACAGTGTGTTATTTTTCATGTCAGTAGAATCTGTGGTAGTTAACCTTGCTTTGGAGATGCTTTGATCCCTCCACATGAAAAGGTTCTCCATAAGAATTAATTCTTTGCTTTATTTTAACAGCAACAGTTGTGTACACATTTTGCTCTGACACAGCTAACTAATACAAACGATTGGAAATTGGATTTAACTTACCTGCCTGACTTAAATGATGATTCACTGCTCATAAATCTTGCACATTACTATGAGGTCGAATACACTGAAGGTTTTTGTATTTGTTGAACAGTTTGCTTTCTTAAATTTCTAACTTTATTAAGCTGCAAAATGAGAATGAAACTGCTTGTACAAGCAGAAATGAACATAATTTTCTAATTACTCATATAATAATGGATACATTTTATGTAATAATAGGGAAACTTTTTTCTATAGCCAAATCTAGAAAATCACATGTGAAAGTGTCTTTCCCCAGTACTCATTCAGAATAATTTACCATGTTATATCTTTGATGTGCCACCTGTACTTACGCAAAGGAAGAGTGATATAGCATAGGTAGTAAGATCTCTGGATCACTGTTATTTGGTATTCTCAACCATTTGGTTTTTAGTCAGTTTTCTATCCATTTCATTTTGTCTTAGTGCAACACAGTCAGAATGGAAACTAGATTCTAACCCTACTATGATATTGGATAATATTTTTAATTTCAGATGAGATTGATTCAGACAAATTCATGTATTGTCTTATAAATACATTCATTTGGGAGCTGGAGCTTTAAGAACACTGTCAGATGTGTTAAGATTCACAAGAAAGTTACAAAAGCTGACAGAGCAAGAAAGTATGGAAGAGGATTTGTAGCAAATGTTTTTTCAGAGTAATTCTGTTTAACTGAAATCCTCTGCCTTGAGTGTGATAGTAAACCAGAATCCTTTCTACATAAATCTAGTCATAAGATGTCCTGTATGTACCTCAGTAAAGCAAGTGTAGAGGAACTTTTAAAGGAAATATAAATTAGGAATATGAAACAGTTCTTTTTATAATGATACCTGTTATTGGGCACTAAAAAAACAATTACCAATTCAGGATCCTACCCTGCAGGAGGCAAAGGTGAGAGAAATTCTTCTTTAGCTGTGGAGCTTGCAGACTTCCACAGACCATCTAAATCTGGTGTTTTTTCCAAAATGCATCTTCTCATTACATTTAGTTACTTATACCCTGGGCTATTAAAAACTGTGAATGTACAACGTTCTGTTCTAATTTGTTCTAATGATCAAAGACCTTGGATAGGACCCAAGTCTTTGTACCTGACGCTGCATAGGTGAATAGGTAGGATCTGTTTGAGGAAACTTAATTTTCAAGTGCCTTTTTTTTCTTTTTTCCTTCCTTCCGTCCTTTCCTCCTTCCGTCCATCCCTCCTTCCTTCCCTCCCTCCTTCCGCAGGATTAGAGTTCAAAAAGGAATTGGGGAAAGAAATGGAGAGTGAATACCAATGTTTATGGAACACTGTGACGACATTGGCTGCGAATTACAGTTTTGGAGATGCCTTCCCAATACGAAAGACCTCCGAACTATTTCTTGAACAGAAACAGACATTATTTAGAGGTACTGACAACTCCATAAATTAAAGAGTTAGAAGCATGATCTTCATTATTATCACTGAAAGTTCTAGGAGTAGTGATCTGATTTTATCCTGATCACGAATCTAACCCATGCTTCATGGATCCTCTCCTCCTTCCTTTCAACCCACTAGCAAAACTTGCAGGTAATGTAAAAATAAGTCTGACCAGGCCTTATGGGTGAAATTCTGACTCCACTATAGACAGCACAAGTACTGTTTTTGACTTCAGTAGGAATTGGGTTTAGTTCTGTGATTGCTAGCCCAAATCTATTGCATGTATTGCAAAAAACATTATGATTAGTGCAATACAAATAATAGTAAAACGCACAATAATTACTCATAATTAATGATTATGCTGCAGGGAGACTGTCTCTGAAGAACATCTTTGCACATGTTGACATGGCGTATTGGGCATGGGAGCAGCAAATTAAGTGAAATATAGAATTTTTGCCCTAGTGGTAGAGAGTCCAGCCATCACTGTAGCTCACATTGCAATCTTTGGAGGGTGTAGAAATGTGAATTGTCTAAAAGTGTCTTAAATTACACCATTGTCCTGTGTAGTAGCCCATAACTGGGAAAGTGCATAGTTGGCTCAGATTGTTTGTTTTCTTCCCTCATGTACAAGACCTCTTCTGGATATCTGAAACTAGTAGGTAGAGATTTTTGCCTGATATGTGACATTTCTTGAGAACCAGTTATGTTACAACCTTCCAATGCTCATTTTAAACCTGTCAAATTGTATAAATCTTTAGAAGAGACAGTTGGTAAGAAATTCAGTAAAGGCTGGAATATATTTCTACTTAAGCTTGTGAGTGTTCTTCATCTGGTTTCAAAGATGTCAAATGGGCAAGGTGGGCTCTAGCAGGCAAAAAAAGATAGTTTCTTTGTTATCTTTTGGACATTAAGGCATCTTCTGGCACAGCATTTGTGTTGCCTGTTTCTGTATCTCCTTTGGAGACCTTGAAGACTGAAATTGTGGCTAGACTTCAAACATGGGAAGGAAGCACAATGTTATGTCATCTGTAGTCATCTAACGTAAGTGCAGTTGAAAGTACATATTTAGGAGGCTGTGGTCTTTATGGAATCAGTGCAGGAAACTAGATGCCTGTGAGATGGTATGGGTTGTAGCATTCAGAAAGCTAGCATAGGTGTCAAAAATGGATTCTGAGAATATCTACTCAGAAGCAATAATGATGTCCCCTTCATTCGTCTTCTCATGCTTGAGAAGAAACAGGAAAAAGGGAACTAGTGAAATGCTTAGTTTTAGCAAATTTTACTTTATAGAATTTAATTTAAAATGTAAATTGACAGAATTTTTCAGTATGATATGCAATAATAAATATTTTTAATTAAACAATATTAATTATTTTTTGCGCTGTAAAGACTATGAAGAAAAAATTCCTAACATTGGGCTAATCTCAGTGAAATCTGATCTTTTTAAAGAATATGCTGGAGATGTTTTGAAGGACCTGCCTGTTTTAGAAAGGTACATATTTGAGTTTTATTCTCATGAAAAAACATTATATGGAATTATTTTCTGCTCCCCTGTGCTTTACATCTGTATTATGCTCAATTCGTACAAATGTAGAAGTGCTTTTGCTGTCACTGGGTAAAATTTCACGTTTACATGTACTGGTGTAAATATTAACAGAAAGTTCAGAACAAGAATGGGTAAGAGTCAATATATCCGTATTTTCTTATACAGTTACTTGTTTGCATTATAGGCTTTGATTCTTATTCTACATTCTGGAATTGTTTTTCTAAATGTACAATTTGTATTTGAAAGGCCTTATCCTAAATTACAAAGCTCAAATTGATTTCAGGAAAAGAAAAACAATAAATAAAAATTCTGAAAAAAAGTAAGAAGGCCTTATCCTTTACATTTGCTCTGCTACCTGTGGAAGTGGGTTTTGTGCTGCGCAATTGATATTTTTCAGCCGGTATGCAAGTTATGTAGTTACCTTGCATTCTGTGATTAATCTGTATGAAAATAAGTGAAAAAAGGGAGTTTTACTTTATTAGTAATTCTTTCTGAAAAACTGAGGCTATCTTGACAAACTATATTTGGAGTGGAATTAAACCCTATGTTGGTTTTCTGCCACAGTAAAATTGTGTTTTGATAAATACCCAGCTTTTTAATCTTTTGAATGTTTCATTACAGATGCTGAAAACACACTTAATTTCTGCTGTGTTTAATGTTTGTATATTTCAGCAATGATCCTGCAGTTACTTCACTTATTAACTACAAGAAATTTGATGAGCTTCTTCACTGGCATTCTTGCAGACCTTTGACTGAAGAATATGAGCGAGTACGGTGCAATGCTGATGGTAAGAAAAACTAACACGAAGCCCACGTGTCTGTGTTGGCTAGAACAGTGTTGTAAAGGTTATCGTGATTTTGAAGACGGACTCCTCATTTCAGAAAATATTTGCAACTTTGTAAATACTAAAGCTACTGCAATAGCTAAATTATCTTTAAACTGATGTGCCTGTGTATTATGTGTATGCATTGTGTATTATCTTAAATAGCTCCAACGAGTATAACAGAATAAGCACATGTGGTCAGATGTTCATGATACATTCCCTTTTGCTTGTGAAATTCTTCACAGGTTTGTATAAGCAAACTTTATGTATGTGTGCAGTTTAATGTTTAAATATATAGTTTGGATAATGCTTGGTAAGCACATCCATACACGTGTAAAATCTGCTCATGTGTTGGCACAGAGCACGCATAGCCAACCTTATCTTTTGAGAATGGAATTAAAATAAGAAGTAAAAGAAGTCGTGGTTTAATCCCAGCTGGCAGCTAAGCATCGCACAGCTGCTTGCTTGCTTCCCCTACCCCCCCAGCAGGACGGGGGAGAGAATTGGAAGGGTGAAAGTGAGAAAGCTCATGGGTTGAGATAAAGACAGTTTAATAGGTAAAGCAAAAGCTGTGCACGCAAACAAAGCAAAATGAGGAATTCATTCATTACTTCCCATCAGCAGGCAGGTGTTCAGGCAGCTTCAGGAAAGCAGGGCTCCTTCACACATAACAGTTACTTGGGAAGACAAATGCCATCACTCCAAATGTCCCCTACTTCCTTCTTTTTCCCCCAGCTTTATATGCTGAGCATGATGTCGTATGTCATGGAATACCCCTTCAGTCAGTTGGGGTCAGCTGTGCCAGCTGTGTCCCCTCCCAGCTTCTTGTGCACCCCCAGCCCACTTGCTGGTGGGGTGGGGTGAGAGGCAGAAAAGGCCTTGATGCTGTGTAAGCACGGCTCAGCAACAACTAAAACATCCCCATGCTATCAACACTGTTTCCAGCACAAATCCAAAATATAGCCCTGTACTAGACACTAAGAAGAAATTTAACTCTATCCCACTAAAACCAGCACAGAAGTTAACAAAAGTTGTTTGTATCCTAATTCTTGATATTATGCGTTATAGTTTCCTCTGAGTTTTTTCCAGTTTGAGATACTAAGGAAAAAAAAACCATGGACTTAGTTTTGGTCTTAGATTTGCATGTTCACATTAAATGAAATATACAATACAGTATGTACCAGCAAGTACACAAAACTTTCATGCAGTGGATTAAACTGTGAAAAACCTGCCAGGAGTTGAGAAGTCATGGATTACTGTTGGTACTTCCAGTCTTGCTTATGGTTTTAATTCAGAGACTTAGAAATATTGTTTCCTGAGTGGGTATTTGCGCCACTTGACCTATGAAACCGGGGTTCCATCTGCTCATCTTTCTGACTGGATGATTTTTTGCATTCTTCTGTGCACTGTGATTTCAATGGGAAGTTTGGAGAGCATAACCTGCAGAACAGTAGCTACAGCACCTTCCATAATGTTGGAGTTCAAGGTTTATGTCCACTCCAGCTGAAGAGAGGGCCTTCTCTCTTGCATACCTTGCATGAATACTCTGAATGCTGGCATGTGTCATCTAGGCATTGTGAAAAACAGATCTTCTGAGATGGGTCTTCACACTGAGAAACTGACTCATTGTTTTGATATTGGGGCAGAGAGAAATACCTAGCCTTGAGTGTGGAAGTATCCATGTGCTCAGTTCAGTATCTTCCACTGGCTAGCAGAAGTGTTCTTCCAGCAGCTTTATTTATTTATGTTCTGATGACAGAGTCTTGTTTTGATGGGAAGAGGTCTCTTTCTGATCATCTGAATTGCCTTTGGAAGACACCTTCCTTATTTGAATGGACTATGTGAGAAGCCTAGACATTTTGGTCAAACAGCTAATAATTTCTTTCCAGATGTCCTGCTTGTTAAGTTTTGCAGTTTTTTTAACGTGTGCCTAAAGTAGGTTGAATTTGAGTCTATTGCCTGTCTCTCAGACAATGCAAAGTACTGTTGGGTTTCAGTGAGTCTTAGTAGCCAGCCTCTTTCAAAATGTGATTTTGGCCTTTAGGTCAATGAGGAATTTTTAGGAAATTTATGCATTACCCAGGTACCTTCTCCTGGAAATAGATGAGGCTGGAATTCTATCAGAGTGCAGAGTGGTTTGTAATCAATTATATTTGTTTGCAGCAAAATCCAAAGATCCAGAAGAAAGAAGACAGATACAAAAGTTACAGACTTTTCATCATTTTTATGGAAGCACTTTGGAAGACGACGCTTCCAAACTTATTGTACATCAAGAGCATGTGTCAAGGAATGCTAATTCTGCTGTGAAAAAGACACAAAAAAAGCCTGTAAGTATATTCAAGTTGCTCTTTCCAAATATTTTTTTCTGTTATCCAGGAAAGGATTTCTACTATATGAGTCCCACAGCTGAAGTTTTATATTCTGAATATAAACACTAGTAGTTTTCAGCTGAAGAAATTTAAATTGCCTTTGTACTTCAAAATAAGTTAGCAAATTGGCAAAAGCATTTTTGTGCCTAGTTAGGAGTACTGATAAGTGATTATATTTAAACAGGCACAAGTAAATAAAAAAAAATAGTAAATTTGAGCTCTGTAAAGGCTGATAGATTTTGGCTGATGGCCAGTGTTATAATGTGGAGTGAAGGAAACTGGAGTTCATTAATTTAATTTTACTTTAAGAAACTATTGAGAAATACTAAAAAAACATTATTCAGTTATTTATTTCCTTGCACTATTTGGAAGCATTCTCTGTGAAGGATCCTGTAAATATTGCAGTTAATCCTAACTATGTGAACATTGTCAGACATCACAGGGTATGTAGCATGTACTTGCATGCTTATGAATAATACTGAGCAATAGTAATTTGAGTAATATTTCATAATAGACTGTACTATGGATTACAGATTATAGCCTGTTGAGTTACCTGTAAAAGTCTGTATATAAAATAACTTTCTTAACTTGAAGTAAGGTTGAACTCGTATTTAACTTATTGAAAAGCATCTCAGTGTGATCAGAATTACTGTTAACCATGTATAAAATAAAAGCTTGAAATTTAACTTTCAGACATCTAGTATTTTATTTTTCCACAGTTGTGCTTTGTTATACTACTTGTGAAGCTTTATACTGACTAAAAATGAAGCTTAGGGAACCTCTTTCAAGCAATTTCTACTGAGATTCAGAAATTATGTCTCCTTGAAAATTAACTTTTTTAGAAGATGCTTGCACACAGTGATAGTTAGTTCTAAATATCTTCATTTTATCGGATAGAAAAGTAAAGCGGAAGAAATTGCAGAGGAAAACAACAGGCGACTAAAAATTAAGGAAGAAGAGAAAGAACAGGAGCAATGGAAAGCTTTGTGTATACAGACTGAAAAGGAAATAAAAGCAAATGTGATTGTTGGAATAAATAAATTGGAGAAGTTCCTCAAGACTCTTAAATCTGTGAAGTTCAGCGTAGAAATGACAGGACTGTCTGCCTGCTTAGAAGTATGGAAGGAACACTGCAGAGAGCAAGGTACGATAGCCAAATTTGTGCTCAGTATTCAACTTCCACTCTCTTTAACCAAGAGAGTGCGTGACTTTGGACATTCTCAGCTGGGATAAAGACGTGTAAATACAGCCCTGTTTCAGGAGCATGGAAGGTGTTTGTAAGTATTATCAGGCTCTGGTTCCCTTTTGCAATTTCAAGATCCTTTCAGTCAGCCGTGAAGTATCCAATGAAATGAGATTGTAGCTGTTTTCCTGCTTTGTAAACTTTGCATACATAAAAATTTTATTTTGTTGTATATTTCTTTAATGATTATGTATCATGCACACTAAAAGGTATCTATATTGCAGTGGATTGTTTAATTAGCTGAGGTGGTTAGCTCACAGTGTGAATGGTGATGATTTGCGCAAAAATTTGTGCTACCATGGTCAGTGGCCTCCTGTTTCACCAGAATTAACTGGTTCAGTCCATACCCTCAGTGAGGAGAGTCTAAACACACGCTGCTCTAGACGTGTTGAAGAGAGTTGTAGACATTGGAGTGGAATGTGTTACTAATAAGACTGACTAACATAGGTGCGGGTCAGGAAGGTGAAATGGGGGAGCTCAGTTATTGTGCAAATGTCAGAAGTATGACTCCATTTTATAGGTGAGTGTGCAAAAGCAGATAGAATTATTTGGGTGCTTGGTCTTCAGTGGCACTCCTTGTAGAGGTCATAGGAATGTGGGTTGTCTTTTTCTAGTTGTCTTTAAATAAAATTCATATTTAAATTGTCATAAATGTGGTTGGATGGATAAGATCCATTCTAAAAATTAATATCAGAAGACTCCCAGTGATACAATTGGCTCTCAAATAAATGTAGACTTTTTTTTTTTAAAGGTAAAAAGTCTAAAGATTTAAGTAAAGCTGTTCAAGTAATGAGGAGAATTCATATCCTCCTTGAAAAATACCAAGATCTCTTGGAGAAACCACATCTACAAAAGCTGACCAGATACCTAAGACTTCTTGGATTTGAGAATTTGGCATACTCTCTATCTGGCCAGGTAACTTCATAGACTGTAATGATTCTACTGTAACTGGATCTGTAGTTGAAAACACAGTTTTCTTAAGCATTGAATAGTGTGTAATAGACCTATATTGAGCTTATTTTATTTTGTATTGTATTTGTATCCTCAAAAGATGAGGAACTGTCTATTTTTGCTTCAGATATTAATCTTCTTTAGTGCCCTGGATACAGTTCTCTGCTTGACGTGAGGGCTAGCTGACACAGTATGCCGCTTCCACCTTAGTAAATAGAACTTCATATGGCTGCAAAGATACCATCTGAAACATGCATCAAGATTAATTTGCTCTAGTTATATCTGCGTGAAGACTTAGAATCTCTGAGAGGTACCTGTTGTTCAATTCATCACATCAGCTGAACTCTGCATGTTAAAAATAACTGTTAAAAGTGAAGTGATAAGCACCTGCTCTCTAACAGGCCCCAGTGTGCTACTTTAGAAAAGGAAATCTTGGAGACAACGGAGGTGGATGAAAGCTATTCTGTTTGTTGTAATGGTATTACTGGTCACCTCTGAAGGAGACAGTTTCAGATGCTGACTTGCTTGTCCGTGCTAGCACAGCGGAGACCATCAGTAGCTACACTGATTTTGGCTCTGAAGTAATTTGTCTAAGGACTGTTCTTATGCTTTTCTGCATGCTAGCAACCTGCCTGCTGGCTGATTTAATGTCAAGAGCAGTTTGCATACCTTTGTGTGTAGATGGGGTGTTACTAGAGAGAGGGGATGCTAAAGTGGCTCTCAGGCAGAAGAGGATATAACTCACAGCCTGAAGAATATGGAGTCAGTAGCAAAAGGAAGGAAGATTACAGTGAACTGTAAAACCAGTATCGGTCACTTCAGTATCTCATATTTCAGTCGCAGTAGAGTTAGGAATTTTTGGAAACTTACTTTTGGAAAGTGTTGATCATCCTTTCTTATCAGGACTAAGAGGTGGGGGAGGAAGTGGTTGTTTTGTAAGAAATTTTCATCCCTTGAAGAGTGGAACATTTTGTCTCTTTTTCTATGTGAATTCAACTGGTGTACAATGATTGTTTGCTCTTGGCTACATAGTTATTGTAAGGGTGTTTGGTGCCACAAATAAAGTATATTACATTTCAGGAAGTAGAATTGTAGGATCAAAGGATCTCAAAAAGTCTGTTTTAAAGGTTTGTGGTAATAGAAGGGATATGTTGGCAAGTTTAATGTCTTGGTCAGAAGGGTTCTAGATCAGTCGGTGCATTTTGGACCTACTTTTGCTTTTGCAGCTCCTTGTTTCTGATTATTACTTTTGCAAAGCTGGGGATGTGTGAGCTGACACAGGCAGGATGCAGGAACAACCACAAAACCACAGATAAAATGCAAATAGTAGATTTATTTTCATTACCTTGTGAACCGGGGAATCTTCAAAGCAGGACCTGGGCAGAGAGAGGCACACAAGTGAAGTGGGAACGCATGCACTGTGGAGCTTGGTCCTTGCTAAAGAGAGAGTGCGAGCTACCGAACCAGCTGCTTTCTATGTGTCAGGGATTCACACAAGTGTAATTTTCCACTGTGCTTTGATCCTTCTCACAGCGGTGCAGGAATCTCAAGCATGTTTGATAAGGTTCCTTTGAGTCTATCATAGGCCTTATGTTATGTAAACACAGATGTTTTACTTGTCAAGCACACAAGACTGAACAATGGTGTATGTGTTTTTCTACACCCCAGCTGCAAGTCACTTGAGCACGTTTACAATCCTCCTCACCAATCTTTCAGGGAAATTTTAGGTATAACTGAAATTTTCTGGAATAACAGAAAATATTTCTTTCAGAAATTGAAGAAGTTGTGAAAGCTTCATCCTTGGAGACAGTAAAAACTTGGCTGAACGCAGCCCAGAATGGCCTGATCTAATTGCCCCTGCCTCTAGCAGTGAGTTGGATTAATTGACATCCAAACATCCCTGACAACCTAAATTATTATGTGATTTTCTGATCTTATGCTCTATGTTGTAACACGTAGTGCTTTCCTATACCAGCTTTCAGGATCAGATGTTGTAACCAGTCGTGCCCATGCACACGGAATTTGGAATGTCTTAGGGTATATGGGCATTGTTTAATATTACAGTGCTTTAAAAAATTTGGGATCACATTCAGTTACGATATTGAATTTCCTTTTGCAACTGTGATTCATTGCACAAGGGGTCAGGGCCGGTTGAAGAAAAGAGACATAAATATAGGATGAGAAGGCTCTGGCAGGCAACAGCTTAAAGAGGATCAGCTTTGCCTGCTAGCCAGTTTTATTAGCTCTTCTGACGACAAAAACACCACCAACACTGGCTATGGAAGACACATTATTTTTAGAACATAGTCTCCTTTGAAGAGACACAAGTGTAACCCTGACATAAGGCTATATGGTGTAGGTTTCTGCAAGAAATTATTTTAAAATCACCTGCACTTTCATATGTTTTTCAAAGCTTGCAGAGTTCCACAGAGTAAAAGATGTCCTATTATCTTAATCTCTTGCTAGCTTTCAAACCGATTTGAATTTTCATTTGATCTTACAGACAGGAGAAAGGAAGGATCAGCATGTAAGCAACTATGCTATCGAAGTGGGTCCAGCTCACTTTCAGCTACAATACATGGATTATTACTTACTCAGAGAAGAGAGAAATGATCCAGATCCCCGAGTGCAACGTTTCATACCAGACACATGGCAGGTAATGAGACACAAACTTTCTGCATAAAGTTAATGGAAATGATCTTTGATTTCTTTTCCCATTTAAAAATACACATTATTACACTACTTGTAAAAAATAGTGTTATTTAACAAATTTAATTTTTTAACAAATTTAACAAATTTACTAGATCATGTTGGACTGTATTTCATGTTCTTTCTACACTGACAGCTTTTCTACAGAGAGCTTGGCCCAAGGAATTCAATGTAAGAAATGCCAAATACATGGTATTTCACTGCTTATTATCATATCTGATGGTGATAACACCCCATTTGGATAATCTCTCACTGTTCATCCTCTACTCATTTGTCCCTAAAGAATTATCCATAGAATGAGTTGAGAAATAACTTTTCTGTCTAAAGCAGAGTAAATCTAACTCAGATTTTTTTTGTTATTGGACTATAAATTTGCTGCTTTACATGTCCATATCTGCAAAACAGTCACTTGCTTGAAAAGCAACTTGGAACTTGGCCTTTGTGCTGATAGAGAAAGATAGCGTTAGTACTATTTCTGTTTCCTCTTCTATAGCTCTTCCCCCACCCTTTTACAGACCTATGTTAGGTGAGAGAGCATGGAGGAAGACAATAAGAGGGATGAAAACATATTAATAAGCACTGTATACTAATAGCAGAAGAGAGGTTTGGACAGTATTGATGTAACTATTGTAATACAAGAAAAAAATACTGCCTTGTATAAAACAATTAAGTTGTTGGAGCGTAGTTATACACTGCTGAGTTAACTGGTTTTATTTTTTTAATCTGAGAATGTCCAGGTTTGGACTCAGAATGTTGTGGTATCAGTATCTCAGACCAAATAATTGAAATAGACAAGTTATAATTTGTAGTTCAGGGTTTTTTTTTTTTTCTTCACTAACAGAGAGAAGAATGCAGTCGTAAAATGACTACGTTAACTAACTTTCTGTAGTCTATAATCTTTACATAAAGTCTACATGCAAAAATAAGAGATGTTGTCACATAAAGAGATGATTTGCTCAGTAAGAACTTCATAACGACATTTTGACATAAGTAACTACTTTTCTCTTAGCGAGAACTTCTTGATGCTGTAGATAATAATGAGTCTGCGGTGATCGTTGCTCCCACTTCATCAGGAAAAACATATGTATCATACTATTGCATGGAAAAAGTTCTGAAGACGAGCAATGATGGAGTAGTTGTGTATGTTGCTCCTACAAAGGTAAGGCTGCATCCTACTACTTATTCTGTATGTATGACTGTGGTATTTCTCAGTATTATTCTGAAACAGTTTGGGGTAACTTGTTACATAAATTTAGTTGGTGTATATATATATATTTTTATTATTAGAGATTGAATCATTCTGTTTTACATTTACACTTATTAGAAACAGCATGCTTATAAAAAATCTTCAAAATATTTAAGCTCATTTAGAGTTTTTGTCTATAAATATCTGTACAGGTAATTTAAGGTCAGAAACACTAATATATACAAAAGTGCTGTAAGTAGCATATTAAGTAAATGGTGAGAGTACCAAAAGCCTACCAACATGGTGAAAGTAATATTAGAACAGAACAATGACCAAGTAAATCAAGTTGTCTGTTTCTAATTGAGTTCACCATGAAATGTTTAGAGAGAAAATTTTTGAAACTCTAGGTAAACAGGATATTTTTTAATGAGAGTTCCATCCCAATAGTTAAAAACTGACTTAAGTTTTGAGGCACAATGTTTTGATTTCTTCCAAAACTTCCTTTAATGTTCAGTAATGTAGTTTTTGGATATTGAATTACGTATGCTGTTATTCAATAACAATCTCTATGGATTATTTTCTATAAATAAAATCTGTTTTTTTGTGGTTATACTCAGGTTGGGCATCAAAATCATCTTTTAATTTGAATATCAGTCTGGGTGCAGAATGTGTTTTATACCTGCAGCCACAGGACTTTGAGATCATTAAAGTGCTTGTAGATGCAGTAGAATGTGATCTATTTTTAACTGCTTTGAAAATAATCAAAATACAAAATTAATAATGTATAACTCACTTTACACAACACCAAATTCCTTTGAAAGCATTTGAGTATAATTGAAAATCAAGTACCATACCTTTTTAAAGTTAACATTCTTGACAGTCTAGATTTAATAGTACATTACATAGTACATTATAGTCTAGTATGTTAATATTAGTGCCAAAATGGAATGCTTTTATATGTTTCTGAATATTGTATGCCTTTAGACATACACTGTCTAGTTTTGTTAATAACCTGCTTTATTTAAGGCGCTTGTAAACCAAGCGGTGGGAACTATATACAGTCGATTCACCAAGAAACTTCCTGATGGAGTGGTAATGTGTGGAGTGTTCACACGAGATTATCGCAATGATGTAATGAATTCTCAGGTATTTTTTTATGGGTGTTTTAACATATGATAATAATGACTTCTGTATTCCATCTGGCTTCTGAAAATGTTAATTCTAATTATAACAATTGTACCATTGCTAAATACAAAGTTTGGGAAAAATCTAAGCATACCTGTGCTGCTTACCAGAAACTTTCAGTCTATGGCATACAACCTTGCCTATTCATCCTTAGGAGACATGCAGTTGATTACTTGCTCTGGTTAATTGAAAAAGCGTTAAAATCCTTTGGTTGCTAGCATACAGCAGATGCCTTTCATAAGTCCAGATACAGTATCTCAGTAGCTCTTCCCTCATCCACTGATGTAGTCACTCCATCACAGAAGGCCACTAGGTTGGTCTCTCTTGTAGTGGGGAGCCCAGAACTGTACACAGGCCTCCAGGTGTGGCCTCATCAGTGCTGAGTAGAGGGGAATGATCCCCTGCCTTCATTTGCTGGCAACACTCCTCCTAATGCAGCCCAGGACACCATTAGCTGCCTTTGCCACAAGGGCACATTGCGGCCTCCTGTTCAACTTGGTATTCCCCGGGACCCTCAGGTCTTTTTCTGCAGAGCTGCTTCCCCCCAGCATACACTGGTGCATGGGGTTGTTCTTCCCTATGTGCAGGACTTTGCACACCTCCCTGTTGAACTTCATGAGGTTCCTGTCAGCCCATTTCTCCAGCCTGTCCAGGTCCCTCTGGAGGGCAGCATGACCAACCCTCTAGCATATCAGCTACTCCTCCCAGTTTGGCATCATCAGCAAAACTGCTGAGGGTACAGTATTCCCCATCATCCGGATCATTAAACAGGATCAGACCCACTATTGACCCCTGGGGTACACCGCTAGTTCCTGGCCTCCAGCTAGGCTTCATACCGCTAATCACCAACCTCTGGGCCCAGCCTTACAACCAGTTTTCAGTCCACCTCACTATCTGCTCATCTGACCCATACTTCAACAGCTTGTCTGTGAGGATATTATGGGAGATGTTGCTGAAAGCCTTAGTGAAGACAATATCCACTGCTCTCCCCTCATCTACCAAGCCACTCATTTTGTCATAGAAGTTGGTCAAGGTTGGTCAAGCCTGGCTTTCCCTTGGTGAATTCATGCTGGATGCTCCTGATGATTTTCTTGTTCTCCATGTGCTTGGAAATTATTTCCAGGGTAGTTGCTCCATCCCCTTCCCAGGGACTGAGGTGAGGCTGATCATTCTGTAGTTTCCTGGGTCCTCTGTCTTGCCCTTCTTGAAGATACCAGTTGCTATTCATTCTTGCTTACCTTGAAATCAAATACATATATATTTTTAAATGCTTTCTAAATATAGAATCTACTTGTAGTTGTTTAGTTGGTTTACTTGAAAATAATTCTTTACAAACCTTTCTTCTTAGATACTAGTGACTGTGCCTCAGTGTCTAGAAATCTTGATGCTGTCTCCTCGTTCCCAGAAATGGACCAAACGGATACAATATGTTATATTTGATGAGGTAGGCATCTTTTAATAGTAACCAATTTAACATATATATGAAAAATTTAGAGGAAAAATTCTGGTGACTCAGTTTTTCATTATATATGTTACTGCTGGTAAAAAAAGCAGCTTTCAGAAATATTATTTCAGACTTATTTGTGTTTTCCTGTTTACTGATTGTGTTTACGTACTCCAGTGAAAGAACTTAAAACTCCATTAGTCTTCAAGAGGACGTACATTTCAGTCAAAGCTACCAGAAGAGTCCTTATTTCTCTCAAGCGAGTCAACTGAAAAACTAAAAGCCACCACTGTAGTCTCAGTGGCACAAATAGAGCATTCCAGACAGGGATTGTATACTTTTCACATCATATAGTATTTGTCAGTCTTTCCAGGGAAAAAGTCAATGATTAATCTTGCTAAATTTAAAATTCCTACTGTACTCTTTCTTTTATATACAATTAATTGCTAATGATGCCAGTGTATCTAGGGTACAAACAGTGAATGTAGTATTGAAATTTAGACAAATGTGCTATCTAGTGTAGTCTGGAGAGGGATTTACTGGACATTTGATTTGGATCTTGTGGTCATTTGCTTCAACATAAGAATTTTTCAGTACTGATCTTGCTAAACTTGATTTTTGCAAGACACAAAACAGCTCCTGTTATGGGTGCAGGTTTTTTTTTTTTCTTTTCTTTTAATCCTTTTTTCCAAAAACATAGGGCCATTGTCTTGGCGGTGAAATTGGAGCAGAGGTTTGGGAGCATCTTCTGGTAACAATTCGGTGCCCGTTTTTGGCGCTCTCTGCTACTGTCAGTAACCCGGAACACCTAACTGAGTACGTGTGGAATTTTCTTGCTCACAAGAGCATATTTAAATTGGATATGAGCTGTTTCAGATAGAGAGGTCAATGACTACTGGGAGGCAACTGATTTGGAGTTATATTGTTGTATGTATAATGCTACCATTACTCCCCCAATTGACACAAAACAATACTGTAACTCCTAACTCTGTAATGAGAAGAGGCACTACTCTTCCTTCAGACCCTATAACTGAGCTGTGCAGAGGAATTTAGAAGGCTTTTATGTCTATTTGAATTGCCAGACCCTAATACGCACACTTGTCCATCATCAATCAGAGAAGACACCTGCACTGTATTTATATATATATAATGGTGCTATTTCACATTTTTTATCTGCACCCTGGGATAAGCTGGAGAAAATTACACTAAAGAAGGTTGGAGGGGGACTGGAAATTCTACAGAACAGGTTGAGCAGATTGTGGTAATTAATCTATTATAGCTGTAGCAATTTTCTTAAAATATTTTCTACAATGCTCATTTTTATTTTATTCTTTCACTGTAGGTGGTTACAATCTGTGAAAAGGTATTGGCAACGTGCTGGGAAGACAATAGAGAGAAGCTCTAAAAACTCTGAAAAGAACTGTACAGGAAAATGTAAAGTGAAATGTAAAGTACAAGAACAAAAGAAATCATATCGTGTTAGACTAGGTGTGTATCAGAATATTTTGTAACTAAAATAAATTTTAGTTTTATTTCTGCAAAAACTTTAATCACGGTGTGTGAACTTAAGTGTATTTGTTTTGGTTTTTCTTTTAAATAAAAATAAACCTTGCAGTGCTTGCTTTATAGAACAACCAAGTGCATCATGACAGCATTTTTGTCTCTTCACAGTCTTGTATGAGGAAAGATACAATGATTTGGAAAAGTATGTGTGTTCTCCAAAGGGCAGTGATTTTATCATTGAACATTGTCATCCATGTGCTGCATTAACAGTCAATCATGTAAGCGTAATACTGGTGTCAACACTGTTTAGCAACTGTTACATTTAAGCAACATGGATTCCATCAAAACGATTCCTTTATTTTTCTTTTGTTTAAACTCCTTGCAGATTGAGAACTATGGTGTTCCTTCAGATCTTTCTCCCCACGAGAGAGCATCCAGCTTTATGACACAATGGTAAAAGTCTGGCGAGAGTGGCCAAGGGCGCAGGTGTGTATACGCAACTGTGGGCAAAACATATAAAAATAAATAGATAACAAAGTACTGCAATGTTTTATATTAATGTTGTTTTCCAGGAGCTAGATCCTGAGGAATTTGTCTGTTTCAAGAATAAAGTAGTAATTAAAAAGGGAGACGTGAGGAAATATGAACAGGAACTGAAGAAAGAACTATGCAAATGGATTGTTCTTGGCCAAAGACAGAAGGTAACAGTTCTTAAAGGGCGCTTTCTTAAGATTGTGTACAGCTTTAAAATAATTATATGTAATAATATAATTATGGGAGTTTCTCCTCCCATCATTATTATTTATTAATTTTAACTGCTGCTGTACTTGAAAGATAAGCATTAATATTTGTGGTGTTTCCATAAGCGTTTTTGAGGTGATACTTTCACAAGCTTCTCTGGGAATCAGACTTCTGATAACTGCTGTGAGATTTCCTGATTCCTTTAGGTACCACCTACAGTTAGTGAGAATATTGTACCATTTCTCTGCTTTTTCTGTCTACGTCTTTTTTGCTGCTTATTTGAAACCTTCTGTGTAACCACAGACAGTATGTAAAAGAGAGAAATTAAAGCAATAAGCAGAAAATCAGGTCCTTGATTGGAGGCCACCTATTGCTATATCATAAAAAGGAATATAGGAGGTGGTGAATCGACAAGAAGGAGAAAACAAACAATATCTGGAGAAGAAACAAATTTCTTGAAATATGACGCTTAAATGTGAAATTATATCATAATCAGTATGTTAGTGATACTTCATTATTTGTACAGTGATGATAGCCATGAATGCTACAACAGTTTGCATTTTGAGCTCATACCAAAGTCAGTTGATACCTGCAGACCTTTTAGTCTGTAAACTATATGTGGCTATTGCAGTTCTGAATGATTAAAAAAAATTGAGCTGAGAGAAATGAACACTGGAGAATGGAGTCCTCATATTTGTTAGCCTCTGGCCAGAGATTTCTGCTACTAAAATATCCAATAATACTACTTTGGTCAGGTGAATGAGCTACTGGAGCACCTTAAGCCAAAACCTGTGGATTGCTCAGAACAGGAAAAGTGGAAGTGTTTTGCAAGCTTTGTTGATAAATTACATGAGATGGATAAGTTGTCTGCCATATTTTTTATGTAAGTATTTACAGCCCATGTATTACATGTGTATTGTCTATATTCAGAAAAAATAGTTTTGGAGATCAGCATTGATATAGCTTGGCAAATGCCATTTATATGGTATTTGTTACCTTTGCTTTAAAACATGCCAAGTAAAGGCCTACAAGCTCTATCAACCCATGCATCCTTCTGGCACTACAGGTCTAGCTGAAATAAAACTGGGAGCATTTAATTACTGTCTGGAAAGGGTAGCATCCTTGCATGATGTCTGAGAAAACTGCAAGAAACTGAATCACATTAAAATGGGAGTCAGATTGTCAGTTGCTTTGCCCCAGTGTAGCCAGTAAAACTTGTGGAAAGTGCATGCTGTTTATGTAGAAGTGCAAGTGGTGTATGTAGGGGCAGATTTGCTAGTGAAAAGGGTGGAATGAGGCTCTGTTAATGTGTGCATTTTAATTTATTGGCAGAATCTTTATATATTTTATCACTCAGTTTTGGAATAATAGCAGTTTGATAGTGAATGCAGACTATGATTTGGAGATGGAGTAAGGATATGCTTCTCATGATTAGATTCTAACTATTGGCAGATGATAAGGCTCACTGAAGATTTTTTCTAACAACACTACATATAAATAAAAACTCTAATAGAGTTTACCTAACTCATGTATATTATATATTATTTACTTCAAGATTTAATGTGGATTCAGTGGAATGTGCAGCCAGGAATGTATTCCTCAATTTGCGGAAAAAACAAAGAAGTGAACAAGACCCTAATGCAGAGAGGGAAAAAGAACATTTAATGGATGAACTAAGGAAAGTGAAAAAAAGGCTAATAAAATTCAACCCTCAGTAAGTATTAGAAAGATATATTATTAAAAAGCTTACATATTATAACAGAGCATAATTTTGTGATGATAATTTATTTCTGGGGAATGTACCTTACAGCAGCACATTCATCCAGCTTGCAGTGTAATCGTCTCGCTTTGTGCTCTAGCAACCCACACGGTATGAGCAGCTGTATGGCAGGCATCAGTCAGCAGTACCTAGTGCATAGTGAGGCAGCAGGAGGATACCAGTGTTGCTGACATTGTGTAAGGTGCTGGCACTACAATGTAAGAATCGAGGAGACACACCTGAGTGTATGAGATTGGTCAATTTGGAGTAATTCACTACTGAGATATCAAGATATCAGAATGGCTCTTTCTCCAGACAGTAAATTTGTCATGCATCTCTTAAAAACAGTGTAGCGTCTTACCCTGGAGCTGGGTCAGCCACTGAAAGGGAATATTTTCATAGTTTAGCCTCACCATGGCTGGTTATAGTGGTGGATCTCTGAAATAGGGGTTCACCTGTCTGGTGAGATGTTCTTTGAATATCTGTCAGCCTTTTGACTGGATTGTACTGTATTTGTTTCCCCCTTAACCTTGTTTTCTTGATTTTGTGATCATAGAGTATGAATTTTTATAAGGCATTTGGCAATGAAGTATGCCTATAGTTACCAGGAGTGTGAGGAACATAAAGCATCATGGTTTTTCCCTCCTAATCATGGCAATTTACAGTCCATTCTTTGGACATAATATCATGAAAGAATGAACTTAGCTGGTTTTAATAGTAGTAAGTGAGTACGTGAAAATCCAGTAGGAATTTAGACACTTACTTAGACATTGAAGTAGCTTGAAAATCTGCCTCTGAATAGTTTTCCTTCTCCTCTCTTCCTCATATCCTATCCTATATCCTTAAAGTCCATGAGATTACTGGCAGTAAATTCATCACAGTTCTCTTTCATTTTTAATTCTTCTACTGTGCACTCTTGTTAGCTTACTAATTTGCTAAATGAGGTACTTACAGTTGCTGTCTTCACCTTCTTTCATTTTTATATATCACCATAATTCCTCCTCTACTTCACCCAGAATTACTTGCTGTTTTGCATATAGCCACGATAAAAGGAAGCTGTTAGTATTCTCAGTAAATTTACATTAACAGATCTACCAACATGTTTGAGCCTACAGTTTAAAAGGGAATGAGTCTGCATCTTTCAGTACCCAAAGAATATTTTAAAATTGAGAAATGTATGTTAGTTACAAAAGTAATATTTTTGTGTATTGTGTACAGGGATACCAAAAAGTTGTGCTCCAGTAAAATGGAAAACATGGTACTTCTTTTGACTAGAAAAAAACAGTTAGAAAAAAGACTTAAAAGGCAAACTGCTATCCCTTCTGCATGTACTTACGCTAATCCTAAGGCAGTGGATGAAGATGAAAGTCACTGATAATTATAACATGGTTGTGGTTTTGTATGTCTAAAATGCATGAATTTGTGCATAAATACGTAAAACACATACAATGTGTGATGCAGTTGTACTTTGTAACAGTATGCATTGACTTCATGAAACATTCTGATTATTTCCATTTAAATTTGATTCTAGGTATCAATGTTAGATAACTTTATTTTTAAGAGGTATGGACGACTTTCATTCTGCCAAATAAGATATTGACTTGTCCTTGTGATAGGAGTCCTGGGATGTGTGTTACAATGAATTAATTTCCATGAACTATCAGCAATGCAGTTCTGGTACTTGTTGATCCAGATCTCAGACTCCTATTTTTCTGACTGAGTCATCAGCATAGACTATGTGACACCTTTGTGTGCACATCAAAACATTTTTAAGCCCTTCATATCTTGTAAAAATACTAAATAATAAATTATTTTAGGCTTTAAAAGTTCTAGTCCCCACAAAGCAAAATTTTCCTTGCTCTTCAATGTGTTTATGCACGCTGAGGAAAGAAATGGTGAGAAAAGCACTGAAAATCTTCAGATGACCATCAGACGTATTAATGTATATATTTGGAAACCAATAATTAAGGAATAATTTAAGAAATAAATCTACAGGACATGGTTTCTAGCAGCAGTGGGTGACTGGGCCTTGATCCAGGAGATCCTCTCCAAACTTCCTGAAACATGAGTGTGGTTCATATAGCCATCTCTTCATGGTTGGGTTTTTTACTTAAAAAAAGTGGTTGTGATATATAGCTCTTATTTCAGAGAAAAGGTGCTCAAAATTTTGGTGAAGTGTCTTGATAATGCTTTCTGCTTATTGTAAAATTTCTTGAAAAAGAAGAAAGTTCTGTGTATTGGGACCAAACTTGAAAATTCTCATGATTCCTTATCCTAGGAACTTGGGAACCCAATGACATTTTTGGACTGCTGTTAGCCAGCATGAAAAGAACTTTGCTTCCCACAGTCCACATGGGTAAAGGCAGTGAAGAAGTAGCTTGGACTTTGGAACAGATGACACTTAGCTGTAGAGTGAAGTTCAGAAAATACTGACAAAAAATTAATTCAGTGCTATTTCTCAGTTTAGGAAAGGGAAGCTTCTAACTGTGCAGTGAAATGAGGTGGTAGTACTGAGCATCAATGACAAACAAGAGCAGAAGAGTCTCAGCTTCGTGTAGCTACCTAGGAATTGTTCCGTGATAGTGGCATGCAGTACATGATCATGAGACTATGCTTCAAGTAGGAAAGTCGTGAATGTGCAAGCTTGCCATGTCTGGTTGCATCTGGCTGCATGGTATGATGATTGAGGCTGTGGTAATGGCGTTTGTTGCAAAGGTGAAAAAAACTGACAGTATAGGTACTGAAGAGCCTGACTGTGTCACCATAATGAAGCTACTGATGGTACACATGCATTGATATACTTTGGGCTTCAGGTTCGCTGAAGATCAAAACCAGATATATTTCTCTGTAGTGGTTGAAATTTTATCAGATAAGACTTTTTTTCATTAGCAACACCTGGTTGTGGTTAATACTTAACATTTCTTTTTATTTGTAGACTTTGAGGAGGATTTTTCATCGACTTAGGTTTGAGAGAAGAGGTTATCTACAGCAAATAATGGCACTGAGAGGCATTGGGTACCATCATGGATCTATGGCTGCCAAGGAAAGACAAGTAGTGGAGATGCTTTTCAGGATGGGATATATCAAGGTTGGTAAATTTGGATCAGTTCTTTCTTAAAAAATTTAGTTTCTCCATATATTTAATTAAAAAATGCAGTGTACTTTTCACCAATGGTAATATATATTGCATTGACTTTGTCATGCTCATTTAAAAAATGTTGACATGAAAGTTTCCAAACAAATAAAATAGTCAGCTGATAGCTGTAGAATTATTTCTAACTAATCCTTCAAATTAGCCTATCATAGAATCATTTAGGTTGGAAAAGACCCTCAAGATCATCGCACTCCAGCACCTCATAGTCTTTTTTGAAGTGAGGGGCCCAAAACTGAACTGTATTTGAGGCATGGCCTCACCAGTGCCAAGTGCAGGGGCACGATCACCTCCCTGCTCCTGCTGGCCACACTATTCCTGATACAAGCCAGGATGCCGTTGGCCTTCTTGGCCACTTGGGCACACTGCTGGCTCATGGTCAGCCAGCTGTCAACCAACACCGCCAGGTCGTTTTCCTCCGGACAGCTTTCCAGCCACTCCTCCCCAATCCTGTAGCGTTGCATGGGGTGGTTGTGACCGAAGTGCAGGACCCGGCATTTGGCCATGTTGAACCTCATACAGTTGGCCTCGGCCCATCGATCCAGCCTGTCCAGATCCCTCTGCAAAGCCTTCCTACCCAACACTCCTGCCCAACTTGGTGTCATCTGCAAACTTACTGAGGGTGCACTCAATCCCCTCAACCAGATCATTGATAAAGATCTTAAACAGCACTGGCCCCACTGCTGAGCCCTGGGGAACACAACTTCTGACTGGCTGCCAGTTGGATCTAACTCCATTCACCACAACTCTTTGGGCCTGGCCGCTCAGCCATTTTTTTACCCATCAAAGAGTACACCCGTCCAAGCCATGAGCAGCCAGTTTTCTCCAGGAGAATGCTGTGGGAAACAGTATCAAAGGCTTTACTAAAGTCCAGGTGAACAACATCCACAGCCTTTCCACATTCACTAAGCAGGTCACCTGGTCATAGAAGGAGATCAGGTTGGTCAAGCAGGACCTGCCTTTCATAAACCCATGCTGGCTGGGCCTGGCCACCTGGTTGTCCTGTACATGTCATGTGATGGCACTCAGGATGATCTCCGTAACCTTCCCTAGCACCGAGGTCAGGCTGACAGGCCTGTAGTTCCCCAGATCCTTGTTCTGGACCTTCTTGTAGATAGGTGTCACACTGGCTAACCTCCAGTCAACTGGGACCTCCCTGGTTAGCCAGGACTGCTGGTGAATGGTGGAAAGTGGCTTGGTGAGCACTTCCACCAGCTCCCTCAGTACCCTTGGGTGGATCCCATAGACTTGTATGTGTCTAAGTGATGTAGCAGGTTGCTAACCATTTCCCCATGGATTATGGGGGCTTCATTCTGCTCCCCATCCCCATCTTCCAGCTCAGGGGGCTGGGTACCTGGAGAGCAACTGGTCTTACTGTTAAAGATTGAGGCAAAGGCAACATTAAGTACCTCAGCCTTTTCGTCAGCCTTTGTCACTGTGTTTCCCTTCACATCCAATAAAGGATGGAGATTCTCCTTAGCCCTCCTTTTGTTGCTAGTGTATTTATAGAAACATTTTTAATTGTCTTTTACCGCAACAGCCAATTGAATGTGTTTTAGTTAAATGAACTCTATAGGATTGTGATATTTTGTACTGTCTTCACAGAATGTTTCAATTTATGTTCAAATTCAATATTATTTCAATTTGCGTTCCATAAAAGATGTGGTATAAACTTTAAGGATGCAAAAGCTTAATATGCATATGTAATAGCTATATGAACTACACTAAAGGGTGAAATTAATATATGTTCATAGCTGTGTTAAATGCATCAGATTAAAGTTTACCTATATGAAAAGTGATGGTAAAATTTCTGTTCATTTAAGTTTGGTATTACAGGTGGGGTTTTAATTAGATATTGCCATTTGTAATCGATATACTCATGTTTAATATTTTATAGGTAGTCACAGCTACTTCAACACTTGCTCTAGGAATCAACATGCCATGTAAATCTGTTGTCTTTGCTGAAGATTCTGTCTTTTTAGATGCCCTAAATTACAGACAGGTATGGAAATAGAACACATACTCTTTATTGTAAGAACAGTACACATGTAGCTGTTATCACACACAAATTCAGAAAAATGTATTTTTTTTTACATATACTTCTGGGTATGTTCTGAGTTTTAGCTGTTCGTTTTGGTGACAATAATAGTTTTAGCTAGGGTGACTTTACCAACGTTTCAGAATTGCCAGCCCACAAATAATGTATGTAATCAAAAGACCTATTTCAGGAACGAAAGAATTACTTTTGCTCAGTGAATTAAAGGCGTAGATTCGGCTTTCAGTTATGGAAGCTGGAAAGACAAAAGCTGGTTTGTTCTAGTCCAGGTTTTACAAATGTGTGAAAAATATTCTACAAGAACATACTTGGGTTAATGGCTCTTGAAGGTAGGGGGTTCCAAGAGAGCTGGTCACTATTTAAGCATCACTTCCTCCATGCTCAGGATCGGTGCGTCCGCATGAGTAAGAAATCTAGCAAAGGAGGCAGGAGACCTGCATGGATGAGCAAGGAGCTTCTAGCGAAACGCAAATGGAAGAGAAAGGTCTATGGAATGTGGAAAGAGGGACAGGCCACTTGGGAAGAGTACAGGAATGTTGTCAGAGCATGCAGGGAAACAATGAGGAAGGCTGAGGCCCACCTGGAATTAAATCTGGCAAGGGATGTCAAAGACAACAAGAAGGACTTCAGTAGCAAACAGAAGACTAGGAAAAATGTGGGGCTGCTGCTGAACGAGGTGGGTGCCCTGGTGATGGGGGATGCTGTGAAGGTGGAGTTACTGAATGCCTTCTTTGCTTCAGTCTTCAGTGCTAAGACCAGCCCTCAGGCATCCCAGTCCCTGGAGGTAAGAGAGAAAGCCTGGAGAAAGGAAGACCTTCTCTTGGTCGAGAAGGATTGGATTAGAGATCATTTAAGCAAACTAGACATCTACAAATCCATGGGCCTTGATGGGATGCAGCCACGAGTGCTGAGGGAGCTGGCAGATGTCATTACTAAACC